TGGGAGCGACTGGGATAAACTGGTTTGGACTGGGAGTGGATTGGGAGGGAATGGGATAAATTGGGAGGGACTGGGGTAAACTGGGAGGGACTGGGAGGGAACTGGAGGGCACTGGGAGGGAACTGGAGGGCACTGGGAGGGAACTGGAGGGCACTGGGAGGGAACTGGAGGGCACTGGGAGGGAACTGGAGGGCACTGGGAGGGAACTGGAGGGCACTGGGAGGGAACTGGAGGGCACTGGGAGGGAACTGGAGGGCACTGGGAGGGAACTGGAGGGCACTGGGAGGGAACTGGAGGGCACTGGGAGGGAACTGGAGGGCACTGGGAGGGAACTGGAGGGCACTGGGAGGGAACTGGAGGGCACTGGGAGGGAACTGGAGGGCACTGGGAGGGAACTGGAGGGCACTGGGAGGGAACTGGGAGGGACTGGGATGGACTGGGAAGGGACTGGGACAAACTGGGAGGGGACTGGGACAAACTGGGAAGGGACTGGGAGGGGATTGAGATAAACTGGGAGGGACTGGGATGGACTGGGATGAACTGGGAGGGACTGGGAGAGGGTTTGGGGGAACTGGGAGGGAACTGGGATAAATTGGGAGCGACTGGGATAAACTGGTTTGGACTGGGAGTGGATTGGGAGGGAATGGGATAAATTGGGAGGGAACTGGGAGGGACTGGGGTAAACTGGGAGGGAACTGGGAGGGAACTGGAGGGCACTGGGAGGGAACTGGGAGGGGATTGGGGGCACTGGGAGTGACTGGAATGAACTTGGAGGGACTGGGAGTGACTGGGATGGACTGGGAGGGGACTGGGTTAAACTGGGAGGGAGTGGGAGAGGGTTTGGGGGAACTGGGAGGGACTGGGATGAACTGGGAGGGGATTGGGGGTCACTGGGATAAACTGGGAGGGAACTGGGACGAACTGGGAGGGACTGGGGGTCAGCCATGGGTGTGGGGGAGGGGTCTGACGTGCTCCCCTCCCCCACAGGAAGTGCACCTTCGACATGTTCAGCTTCCTGGCGTCGCAGCACCGCGCCCTCCCCCAGGGACCCCCTCCCCGCGAGGATGAGGAGGACGAGGTGCAGCTGAAGCCCACCCGGTGAGGCCCCTCCCCCACCCCAAAAACCCCCCCTGGGACCCCCCAAAATCCCCCTCAAGGACCCCCCAAAATCCCCTCAAGGACCCCCCAAAATCCCCCTCAAGGACCCCCCAAAATCCCCTCAAGGACCCCCCAAAATCCCCCCAAGGACCCCCCAAAATCCCCTCAGGGACCCTTTTTTGGGATTTTTTTGGGGGAGATTTGGGATTTTTGGGATTTCTTGGGGGGGGATTTTGGGGGTTTTTTTGGGGGGGATTTTGGGATTTTTCGGGGGGGATTTTTTGGGGGATTTTTGGGGGATTTTGGGATTTTTGGGAGATTTTTGGGAGATTTTTGGGGGGATTTTTGGGGATTTTGGGGGGGATTTTTTGGGGGGATTTTTTGGGGGATCTTTGGAATTTCTGGGGGGATTTTTTGGGGGATTTTTGGGGTTTTTGGGGGGGATTTTGGGAATATTTTGGGGGTGGATTTTGGGGAATTTTTTAGGGGGATTGGGGGGATATTTTGGGGGGGATTTTTGGGATTTTTTTGGGGTGGATTTGGGGATTTTTGGTATTTTTTTGGGGTGGATTTTGGGGATTTTCGGGATTATTTCGGGGGAGGTTTTCGGGGGGTCCCCCCCGGGTTTTGGGGACCCCCTGACGCCCCCCCAGTCGCGCCACCAGCCTGGAGCTGCCCATGGCCATGCGCTTCCGACACCTGAAGAGAACGGCCAAGGAGGCGGTGGGGGTCTATCGGTGAGTGGGGACACCTGGGGACACACCTGGGGACACCTGGGGACACACCTGGATACACCTGGGGACACCTGGGGGCACCTGGGGTCATCTGGGGACACACCTGGGGACACCTGGGGGACATTTAGGGACACCTGGGGATACCTGGATACACCTGGGGACACCTGGACACACCTGGGGACACCTGGGGGGCACCTGGGGACACCTCAGACACACCTGGGCACACCTGGGAGGCATTTGGGGACACCTGGGACACACCTGGGGACACCTGGAGGGCATTTGGGGACACCTGGGCACACCTGGGGATACCTGAGGACATCTGGGACACACCTGGGGATACCTGGGCACACCTGGGGATACCTGGGGACACTTGGGACACACCTGGGGACAGCTGGGGACACACCTAGGGGTACCTGGGGACACCTGAGGACATCTGGGACACACCTGAGGGACACCTGGACACACCTGGGGGACACCTGGACACACCTGGGGGGGATTTTTAGCCGGATCTGGGATTTTTCCAGCAGAATTTATGAGAATTTTGAGGGAATTTTTAGGATTTCCCAGGTGGATTTTTTGGGAAAAAAAATCGGGATTGGAGGAAATTTTTTATGTAAATTTTGAAATTTCGGAAATTTTGGTTTTTTGGGTGTTTTTTTTTTGTTTTGTTTTGTTTTGTTTTGCAGTTCAGCCATTCACGGGCGGGGCCTGTTCTGCAAGCGGAACATCGAGGCCGGAGAGATGGTGATAGAATATTCCGGAATCGTCGTGCGCTCCGTGCTGACCGACAAGCGGGAGAAGTTCTACGACAGCAAGGTGAGCGAAATTCTGGGGTGAAAAACCCCGAAAACGGGAACAAACAGCCCCCAAAAAAATGAGGGGGGAAAAAAAGTAAAATAAAGGGAATTTTTCCTTACGAAATGGGGGAAAGGGAAATTGGGGGGAAATGGGAGGGGCCGCCCCGAAAAAATGGGGGGGAAACGTCAAGAATGAGGAAAATTGGGAGGGAAAATGCAAAATTTGGGGGGAAAAGCGGAAAAAATGGAGGAAAATTGAGGGGAAATTGTGGGAAAATGTGAGAGAAAAAGGGCGGGAAATGTGAGGGGAAAAGGGCAGGAAATGTAAGGGGAAAAGGGCGGGAAACGTGAGGGGAAAAGGGCGGGAAACGTGAGGGGAAAAGGGCGGGAAATGTGAGGGGAAAAGGGCGGGAAACGTGAGGGGAAAAGGGCGGGAAA